CAAAATATTCAAGTAAATAAGAAAATAATTTTCTTAAAACTAAAAGAAAAAATTTCAATTAAATATTTTCTAGTCTTTTCATAATTATTGAACAATCAATAATATTTTTTCATAATAGACTTTATCAAATACAAATGTTAGTTGACCATCGCTACCGTTTTTGTAGAATAGATGCTTTCAACATAACACGATTTTCAGTCAAAAAGTAGATTACAAGGTAACATCTAAACAACGATTCCAACGTTTAGGTTCGAATTATAATAGTGAAAATGTAAAAATTGAAATGAAATTTTTAAGTTCATATTTGGCAAGAGTGTCTCGTTGGAAATCCTATCTAGTGGGATAAAAATGAACAAACATGTCGTATAAAAACTTTCCAATTACACTTGACCAGTTCAGATATATAAAATAGATATCTTATATAGTTTTTCAATCGTGTATATCTAATAACTTTGACAAATAGCTTTTTTCCTATTCAAAATCTTAATATTTTTACTGGGATCTGTAGTTTTTGGTTTTAATAAAGTTTTTAAATTCTTGAATGCTGTTACTGAGGACAAAAGTGACCAATCATAAAACTTCATATCATCAAGTTCTCTACTCTTCTATTAGAATAAAAAAAATTTTCATGTCTTCGTACTTTCCTACGAGTTTCAATTCAGATGATAGTTCATAGATATTCTTTTAGAGTTTCGTTGTATAAAGTTTTAATGCTAGTCACCTTTGCCTTCAGGAGCAGCATCAAAAAATTTTAAATTACTCAGCCATCCTAATAACCGTTCATATTATCTACAGCTCCTATAACGTTCCATAACTGGTATATGGCTGTGCAGAATATTACTACTTGATACGTCACGAGTTGCTCTAGAAAATGGTGTAGATGACTTTATCTATTGAACGTTTGTTATCTATTCTGACAAAGTTCTTTAAGATGAAATATTCTCGTCCGTTACAACCAACGAATAGAATTCAGTCATTGAAAATAGAATTATTCTTTAATAATTTATCACCAGCAAATATTGAAATTGATTCAATGGATGGAACATTTGCTAGAATTCGTTGTGATTCATTAGATTCTATTGATAAAGGATATCCATGTAGTCAATCGATTATATTTATAACAGACGAAAGTAATATGTAATCAAGATTTCTTTTTTTTTTGTTTTATGACATAATTTTTTTCTGGTTTCTTCAAAATCAATAGAAGTTTTCTTTCCTGCTGTTGATTATTGACCTGCAAGAATGATATGGCAACCGCTAACGTAATTAAATGAAATTCTAACTGGTGTAACAAACTCGACTCTAGCTGGAAGTTAGTTCATATTTGTAAGAAAATTGTCAACGATGCTAGGTCTCAAGAGCCAAAAGCTAATCACTTATAGTATTATATGAAGGGATAATAGTCTAAGTTAAATGATTGTTTATATGAATTTTTCTAAATGACTGATTTAACTATACTTAATTCTATCGTTAATTTATTTAAATATATAAAAAAAATGATTTTCATTTGGAATATGACATTTTATTCATTTACATGGATCTGAAAAAAACAACATTAAGGTGTTTTTTTTCATTCTTTGTGTAAAAACTTGAGTAATGATTTATTAATCATAGAAAAACAAGGTAGACAGTAAAAACTCTTATTTACTAGGAAAAAAAAGTAAATTTTAAAATTGATCTGTTGCTTCATATCCATCAACAATAATTACATATGAACAAGAACAAATGACATGATGGAAACCCTATGATCAGATTAATATATCTGATGAATGAATAACAATATTACTTATTCAAAAGTAAAAACCAACTCCTTAATTTTAAATTGTTTTTCTAAAGAAAATCATTCCTCTTTCAGTTTAGTAGCAAAGAAGTTTTCAATTGTAGAACTTTCATCTACTAATCCCATGTATCGACAAAACATTTTGAGAGAATATTTCTTGATTTTTGAAGTCAAAAGTATTTTCACAGGAATCGAACGGTAAGTGCTAGCCCCTTAGGTATTTTTTGAGTACAATAAAAATAATAATATCGACAAAAACAAAAATTGGTTTTTGACAGAAAATAAGTCATGTGCTACTGATAGTGTTTGTTCAGATTGAATCAAATATGTATATTTTATTTACTACTATCAATATTCAACTGAAAAATTGATTATATATCAGCAAATCAATCATGTGAAATCGAAATTTATCTTCAAGTAAACGTATTGAGGTGACTTTTATTTTCAATTTTTTTTTCTTAATAAAGGATTTTGTTTCAATTGATAATAATACTCGTTTAAAAGTTCCAACTAGATATTAGTAATTTAATTTCAACAGAAATATTCATTCGATCGGATAGAAATCGAATTTTATGAAAACGTTTTGATTTTCTGTACAGTTATTTGACTTTGTCTTAACGAGTTTTCAGATAATGACAGTACAGTCGTATTCAACTGACTTGTTGATCTTGTGTTTCCAAGTAAATGAATATGTTTATTTGAATAATGCACTCTAATCAATTTTCAAAAGTCGTACGAAAAAATAATTCAATGATTTATGATTCACATTAATTGCTTTTGTTTTTTCAATGATAATGATGATGAATAGAAATTTCTTCTGATCCAAAAAAAAGAAAGAAAAGAATATGTATTGTCCGTGAAGGACTGTATATGAACAAAGAACAAGTATCCACATCCATACACATGAAAAACGATGAAATTAATTCGTGTCTCATCATTTCAATTAATCATATGATGATTAATCAATTATATTTGAATGTGCACATCATCGTCAATTATCGTTCATCAAATTGATATCAACATCATTAGAATGTCTTTGATTGGTAATGTGTATGTTTGAACACATATATATAAGAAACACATTTTCACCAGTATTCTCATACGATTCGATCGAACATATCATGAGCATGCTCAATAAAGATAAAACATGACACTCACATGATTTATTTTTCACGGATTACAATTTTTTATATTAACTTACAATAATTAGTATTATTTTACATTATTATTTTTCATGAATGACATACAGTTATCAATTTATAATTATTTACAATGCTACGTATGAGTTTATAATGTATGAAAATGTATACATTAATAATGAAATTTGTTACATAATCTTATGCTAAACCTTTGAATTCTATAGTAGAAAAAAGAAATCTATACATGTTGAATAATTATTATGTAATTTACTGGAATGTAGCAATAAAGAATGTTCAACGGTGTGGATATGGTGGATATCGAATTAGTAGATATGGGTGTGTAGTTGTGCGCGCGTGAATCCGTATGCGAGCATGTTGGATTTTATCTGGACGTGTCAGTGTCCAGCAGAAATAATTTGGGACGCAAAGAATTAAAATACATTAATTTCCGATGATATTTATTGATCGATATTATATAATGATGCATTTTTTTAGAACGAAATCTATTGATTGATGTTATTAAAATTCATTTCTGTACAATTCAATAAATACATTATATTACAATGAAATTTACCAATTTTATGATGTATTAAAATGTTTTGATTTACAATGTATTATTTTAAAATGAAATTTGCAAGTTTATGATACATTAAAATGTATTAATTTACAATGAAATTTATTATATGATATTACGTTACAATGCATTGGTTTACCATAATATTCATTGAATGATATTACATAAAAATATATTAATTTACAATGAAATTTATTATATGTTGTTAAATTCATTACTTACAATGATATTCATTGAATGATATTATATAAAGATGGATTATTTTAAAATGAAATATGTAAGTTTATGATGCATTACATTGTATTAAATTACAATGAAATTTATTGTATACTATTATGTTAAAATGCATGAATTTACCATAATATTCATTGAATGATATTACATAAAAATATATTAATTTACAATGAGATTTATTATATGTTGTTAAATTCATTACTTACAATGATTATTTTTGAATAATATTATATAAAGATGCATTATATTACAATGAAATTTACCAGTTTATGATGCATCAAAATGTATTAATTTACAATGAAGTTTATTATATGATATTATGTAAAAATTCATTAATTTACAATGATATTCGTTGAATTATAATATATTAAAATGTATTAGTTTTGAATGAAATTTATTGAATGATGTTATTTAAATTCATTGCTTTACAATGCATCAATTTATAATGAAATTTATTCATTCATTCAATGATGTTATATTATGATTCATATTTTTTTACAATGTTTTTGATTTCAATGATAATATATGTTAGGATACATTGATTTATGATAGAAATTTATTCTATGATGTTTTTAGAATTCATCTGTTTTCTTTTATGAATTATATGAAATTATAAAAAACATGAGAATGTTAAAAAAGAATATGATTTATTATTGATTTATACCAATAACAAGATTGGGTATGTTGCTTCAAAAATTATCATATTTATCTTGAGAAAGACTTGAACAAATAAATTAATAGTTGAAAGATAAAAAAAAAACTTTTTTTTTGTTTTCTTGAAAGAACAATTCTAAATTAAATTTTCATAACAATACTTACATTGAGATAATGTTAGAATGAGATATAGATGATTTATTTCGGATGAAACAATTTTTTTCTTCGTTGGTGTACACATTTAGTGTATACTATCATTATTATGTTAAGTCTATGTTATTTATGTTAGAAGATAGATACCAATTTATATCACAGCCTTATCAGGTGGCTTCGTAACCTGACCCAGAGAGAGATTCTATTCGTCATGGAATGGCGAAAGCAGTGTAGTACTCGGGAAGGCCTTTAATGTACGTAGGTCCCTGCCGTCATTATGTACGGTACACCTGTGTACATTGCCCTACCAGTCCGGCGTGATCCGCTCTGTGTGTACCCGTTTCATACGCATAGGACCTCTCCCTGGTCACGCGCGCGCGCACGCGTGAAAATGAGTCTAGAAAAGTCGGGAAGTGAAAAAGAATCAAAACCAATTTATTGAGCAAGTAAACGAAAAAAGAATAAATTACATTTTCTTTCGAATGTTTTCAACTGTTTCTTTATATTCCAAAAGATGAGGATGAGTTGAAGGCAATTTTTCTTGAGCTATTTCAACTGCTTGTTGAATATTTTTCATTGCCATACTATATTTTCGTGTAGCCAAATATAATTTTGCCATATTATGATATACAACAGCTAAGTCAGGATGATTTTCTGATAATTTCTTTTCACGTATTTCCAATCCTTTCTCGAAATATGTCAATGCTGTTGAATAATCTTTCATTTCACGATAAGTTTCACCTAAATTTATATATGTCAATGCACAGTCCAGAGGATTACATTGAACATTTTCTTGAATATTTAATGCTTTTTGATGAAATCCAAGTGCCTTTTCATAATTACCCATTAATCGATGAACATCACCAATATTACTGTATGTAATACCCTGATAGGGATTCTTTTGAGGCAAGCCTTTTTCCCATATTGAGAGACACTTTTCGAAATTATCAAGTGCTTTGGGATAATCTTTCATACTGCGATAAATCTTTCCGAACCAGTTGTATGGATAAGCCAAATCTGGATGACTCTCAGGCAGAACTTGTTTTGTAATTTCAAAGTCCCTTTTAGAATATTCAAGTGCTTTCGAGTAGTCACCCATGTTGAAATACACTGCACCAATGTTGTTGTAGGCCATAGCCAAATCGGGATAATTCGGAGGCAGAGCTTTTTCTTTTATTTTATATGCTTTGTCGTAAAATTCAAGTGCTTTAGAGTAGTCACCCATGGCGTTATACACTGCACTGATGTTGTTATAGGACATAGCCAAATCGGAGTGCTTCGAAGACAGAGCTTTTTCTCTTATTTGATGCGATTTTTCGAAAAATTCAAGTGCTTTCGAGTAGTCACCCATGTTGTAATACAGTTGACCGATATTGTTGTAGGGAATAGCCAACTCCTGATGATTCGGAGGCAGCGCTTCTTCTTTAATTTTATGTGCTTTTTTGTAAAATTCAAGTGCTTTCCAGTAGTCACCCATGTTGTTATACACCAGACCAATGTTGTTGTAGGAAATAGACAAATCAGGATGATTCGGAGGCAGAGCTTTTTCTCTTATTGTATATGATTTTTCGTAAAATTCAAGTGCTTTCGAGTAGTTACCCATATTATTATATATGAGACCGATGTTGTTGTAGGAAATAGCCAAATCGGGATGATTCAGAGCAAGAGCCTTTTCTCTTATTTTAAGTGATTTTTCGTAAAATTCAAGCGCTTTTGAGTAGTCACCCATGTCGTGATACAATTCACCGATGTTGTCGTAGGACCTAGCCAACTCGGAATGATTCGGAGGCAGAGCCTTCCTCGTGATTTTGAGATCTTTTTCGTAAAATTCAAGTGCTTTCGAGTAGTCACCCATGTTGTTATACACTTGACCGATGTGGTTGTAGGAAGAACCCAAATCGGGATGATTTGGAGGCAGAGCTTTTTCTCTTATTTTAAGTGATTTTTCGTAAAATTCAAGTGCTTTCGAATAGTCACCCATGTTGTTATACACTTGACCGAAGTTGCTGTAGGAAGTAGCCAAATCGGGATGATTCGGAGGCAGAGCTTTTTTCGTGATTTTGAGATCTTTTTCGTAAAATTCAAGTGCTTTCGAGTGGTCACCCATGTCGTTATACACTTGACCGATGTTGCCGTAGGAAGAACCCAAATCAGGATGATTTGGAGGCAGAGCTTTTTCTCTTATTTTAAGTGACTTTTTGCAAAATTCAAGTGCTTTCGAGTAATCACCCATGCCGTTATACACTCCACCGATGTTGTT